ACAAAAACAGCCAGTGCGGGGATAGTCAGTCGATGACCTTCGAGGTTCTTGCTGACCCTGTGATAAGTTCTGGCCAAGCGGGTGCACATTTCTCAGCAGTCCTGCCTCGGGAATGAAGAGGACAACAGTATCTCTCTCGTTAGCTTTCTTATACTCGTTTATTCAAAGCAAATAGGTTGCGTGGAGGTCGGCAGACGGGGTAAGTTGCAGCCTCTAAATCACTGAACCTTTGTGCCGGGGTTGGGAGTAGGGGAGGCCGGGCAAAGCCTTGCAATCGTCAGGAGCAACCGCGCAGTGGGATAAACTTTGGCTCCAGCTTTGCCGCACGAGAGGGGCGGGGTTCCTTGAATGGGTCCTCTGGAGAAGGCGATTGGCCCTGGGGGAATCGAAGGGGCGGGACTAGGCCATGGTTGCCATTGGTCCTGCGGGCAAGTTGAGGGATGGCAGCAAGGGGGCGGAGCCCGCGAGGGGAGGCAATTGGCTTGGCGAGAGCCCACCGAGGGGAGCGGGCGGGCAGGCCGGCGAGCCCGCGGCCGGGAGCCGGAAGGCCGGAGCCGGGAGGCGGCTGCGGCGAGCTCGCCAGGGCCGCAGCGGGGCGAGGGGCGCGCGGGGCGTTGGCACCGGGGCACGCGCCTGCGTCGCTGACTTGGATGCGGCGGAGACGCTTCTGCGCCCCGCGCGCTGGACGCGAGCCATTCAACAGCTGGCCTCGCGGGCCACAGTGGCAGCGAGCGGCTGGGAGCATTAACGGTTGCGACTGCGGCGGCTGGAAAGCGGCGGCGGCGGCGGCTGTAGTCCAGCTACCCCGGCGGAGGCCCGAGTGGAGACGCAGCGGCTCCTCAGGCTCCCGGTAAATGCCCTCTGCTCTGCTCGCAGAGAAGGCAGCCACGTCCCGCTGCGTCTGGGCCGGCTGGCTGCGCTGGCCTACGGGAGCTGTGGTGCCTCGCAGACAGGGCCACGCGGGACCCTCGGTGGGGATTGGGGAGGGGATGCGCAGGAGACCTGAGTCGCCCCACCTGCCCCTGCGGAGTCGGATTTTCCAGAGATGCGCCTAGGCTCTTCCCCTGGTTCTTTCCTTTCGCCCTAGACCTTGCTGCCCTGGGGCCGCACTAGGGGGCGCCCTGGCACCCACTCAAGGGCTCGCTCCGGTCGCTGCTCCAGCCGAGGTCACTTGGGGCACTCCCCTGGGGTACGCTGGCAGTGGCATCCCGCTAATGGGAACTGAAGGTACCCTCTCCTGTTCGATCCACACACCAAGGGCCGGGACACTTGGCTTCCTCCCTGCTCCGGCTGCGCTCATTCAATTAATCATTATCAGGGCTCCACCGCCCGGCTCCTCCTGATAACCCGGTTCTTGGTTTCAGAGACTTGTCTAGAGTCTCGCTTGAGGTTTCCAGCGCGGGTGGAATAAGACCGTTTCCAATCTGACTGGGAAAGCAGGCTCACCCACAAGGCACGGGACGCGGGGTCCTGAGCTTGGATTGGGGAGCAACAGGGCGAGCGGAAGAAGCAAGTTGAAGAGGCCCATGCAGTGGGAGAAACTGCCATCCCCGAACATGGAGGAATCATGTAGTCTTTCTTCTTTTTTTTTTTGTGAGGAAGATCAGCCCTGAATTAACATCCGATGCCAATCCTCCTCTTTTTGTTGAGGAAGATTGGCCCTGGGCTAACATCCATGCCCATCTTCCTCTGCTTTATATGGGACGCTGCCACAGCATGGCTTTATAAGCGGTGCGTCAGTGCCAGCCGGGGATCGGAACCCGCGAACCCCGGGCCGCCACAGCAGAGCGCGCGCACTTAACCGCTGCGCCACCGGGCTGGTCCCAAGGAATCATGTAGTCTTGGTCATTGGGACCCGCTGACTTGTTTACGTTTCCTCTCCCGCTTTTTGCAGTTTTATTTAAAACCAAGCGGTACCAGAGAACTTTTGAATGCTGCTAACTCGCAGGAGTGACTTGTATTGGAAAACTGGGTTCCAGCATGAGGCCTGGTTATCCTGTGGGCCTTTTCATCTCCTCTGTGTCTTTTCTAGATTGAGAATAAGGTTCCAAAGATCATGCCCATTTTATGTTGTTTTTCTGCCTGCCTCTGATCTACCTTTGGAACTTTATGCTGTTGGAAGAGTGTAAACTTGTGCAGCACGATTGCTAGGGCTCAGTCTTCATGCTGAGAAAACCACTCTGGGATAGCGTAGTTGGGACCTCTCAAGTTTTGGTTTTGTTGTTTGCTTTATAAGAATGTGGCATTCCAGTAGTCACATTTTTCTATGCCCTCTTTTTTTGTTTGGGAGGGAGTAGCTCAAAGCACGGAGTAACTTGCATAAAGATATTTTTGCCTCGACTCTTGCTAAGCACAGAGAAAAGTGACAAGTGGAATAGGCCTGCTGGCACTGGTGCCCAGGGATCCTGGCTATCATGCATATCAGAGGGTGGGTGGGGCTGACTTGAGGTGGTGTAACACTGGGGGGTGGGGACAGGGCCTGCAGAGGCCATCTTGGCTCCTGTGGTGGGTCATGGGCTTTCCACTTAGTCCCAGCCAAAGATCACACCTGCAGTGTGGCCTGTTTGTCTTCTGCATCATAAACTCAGGGGAAGGGAGTGGCCTTTGACGGGTTCATGTGTCATCAGAAGGAAGGGTGAGGTGCAGAGATTTGGGAATGTGAAGGTAACGGTGGTGGCAGTTGTGGGGGGGCTGTGTGTGTGAGAGAGAGACTTGTTTCAAATGTCGAAGCAGCTCTCTGCCACAGAGACTGGCTACATGTCTATCTTCCCAGCATGCATTCCTGCCTTTGCTCGAGAGAGGGACTTTTGCTGAGTTGTTTCAGAGACAGGGCGGTGTTACTTGTGCAACTCTCTGATTTAGTGTCCACCCTGGTCTATATGAGTACTATGTTATATCCAACTTGCTCCTGGAACTTTAAGAAGCTTTAAAGCCATGCTGGGGGCTGAGGTAGACTAATGCCTGGGGCACAGTCTGAACAAATGTGGACCGCACGGAATCCAGTGGTGCGCATGCTCAGAAGAGACAGTGTAGGGGCTGGACCGCTTACAGGAGGAGAGGAAGGTCTGCCATAATAATAATAAGAGCTCACATTTATCACTTCCCGGGGGTTGAGTACTTTACTTGCATCACTTCTCTTAATCCTTTTAAAAATTCTGTAAGGTAGGCGCTGTTATCATCTTCTAAAGCTCAAAGAGGTTAGGTAAATCACCCAGCTGGTCAATGGCAGAGGTGGGATTTGAACTCAGATCTGCTTGACAGCAGCCCTTGAGCTTGAAAGCATTTTACTTTTTGCTGTCACAGAGAAGATTTCACAAAAGAGGGAGGCTGTGAGCAAGGCTTTGAAGGGTGGGTAGGGAGACAGGACATTTGGTTGAGGGGATCAACAGGTTTGAAGGAACTCAAGGAAGACTGGCCCAACTAGAATGGGGGATGGACTCAGGGGCATGAGGAAATATAAGGCTGGTGAGGTGGGGTAGGGGCATGTTTTGGAGAGCCTTGAAAGGAACTTGTGATTTGATGCAGGAGAAATAGGGACATGTTGAGAATTTTTGAGCAAAGGAAGGGCATAGCAAAACCAGTACTAATCACTTGGTGTGCCCTACCTGGGTCCCTGAGCCTGTTCCCGTCTCACTCTTTCTCGAGAACCTCGCCCAGTTGTCAGCATATTTAACTCTTGCTTTTGAATTTCCTGAACCCTTGGGGAGCACCAGGTGCATGTGATTAAATAGATTCCTGGGTTCAGTGCGCAGAAGGAGCCAGCTAGAAGAGGGGCCCTGGGTCAAATTCAGCCTGAGATGGATATGCTGCAGCCTGCACAGTATTGTAAAAGGCTCTATTTTAGCAATTAGGGGTCAACATTGAAAAACCAAAAGATCTCAATAAAAATCAGGATTTCCAGCTTCTCTTGCAATGCCAGAAGGCCTGGTCTGTGTTTCACCTGCGGAAGGCAGAGCTGGGCCGTGCTGACTCCTTTAGCTGGGGTCTGAGTGCTCCACGTCCCCCCGCCCTTCCCCCCAGTCCTGGGACCTACCTGGCCCTGTAGGCCCCAGACCCCTACTCTAGAGAAATAAACCCTCACTCAGGAAGATTCTCGTTCAGGGTTAGCTTCTTGTCTTACTGTGTAATTAGGGAATTGTTGGCCATGCAGTAGAACCGACTCTGTGAAATGCGAATAATCTTAACACACAGGGATGCTGTGGACATCACTGGGGATGGGCTGATGGCCAGAGACTGAGCATTTTCCATAGGTGGTACCTTTCCTCTGGGCTGGAGTTTTGAAGCCTGCTATGCTGAATAAATTGACAATCTTTCAGGAGAACAATTTGACAATATGTATTGAGCCATATAAATTTATTCCTACCCTTTGACGTGGTAATATAGTTTGAGGAAATAATTTTTTGAGAGATTTGTATAAAGATTTTCATAGTGATGCTCTTTCTCATACTAGTAGTATAGAGTAGTGCTCTTTCAAAAAAAAAATAAGTGGGGGCCAGCCCCGGTGGCCTAGTGGTTAAAGTTCAGCATGCTCCACTGTAGCAGCCCAGGTTTGGTTCCCGGGCGCAGAGCCACACCACTTGTCTGTCAGTGGCCATACTGTGGTGGTGGCTCATGTAAAAAAAAGAAGAAGATTGGTGACAGATATTAGCTCAGGGTGAATCTTCTTCAGCAAAAAGAAAAAGAAAAAATTGGAAAACACAAGTCCCCAGGGAGGGGGTATATTTAACCAAATATGTAGTAACTCTCTATAGAGTTTCTATAGAATTTCTCTATATGTAGAATTTCTACAGAAATTTGCTAAAAGCATGAAAAATGAGAAATGTATTGACTATGTTAATGTCTAGAATTGTTTTAAAACAGGTGCAAAAACCAGATCATGACGGTCCATAAGTACAACTGTGTAAATCTCACATGCTGTTCATGCTGAAAATTGTAAATATACGGTTGTCTTATTTGTTTAACTTTTCATCCACTTGTGACTTTGTACCTCTTTCTCTCTGGCAGTGCTCCCTGGTCAGGATGCCACCGCACAGTGGGCCACCATGAAGAGTTCACATGAATTGTGGCTTCTCCAACCTTTCCTCCCTTGATCACATTTTCGTCATAAGGTATTGAGTAATATCCTATTCCGCAGGACTTGTATTCAAATAAATTTATCTTGGGATTCTAAAAAGGTTGGGAAATACTGCTGCTCTCAGAAACTGCTTGGTAGTGCAAAGCACAGTCCCTTGTAAAGGTTACTTTTCCCCTGTAGGTGGCGACTTGTGGGCAGGAATTTTGCTGGTAATTTTCAGTCTGTGGAGATAAAACTGAGAAGCAAAACATGGTGACTTCATGATATGGGTCTCCCACAAATAATACTCTGACTATTCAATGAGTGAGGCAAAAGTACGGAAGATACTCAGCCACGTTCCTTTAAATCCCTGATAGCTTTTTTTTTTAATATGAAGAAGAGAATGCAACGAGTCTACTTTAGTAGCATTATAGTAAATTAATCCAAGGTGTAAAGTGATATTCCTGACTGGAAGTGTCTAGAGAGAGGTGTTCTACACCACAAGTGTTCCTGGTGCTAAAGAAGGGCCAAAAAGACCAAAAAACTGGTCAGACAGGTCTGCCAACTGCTCTGTGCATATTTTAAAAAATAGCTCCCTCCCTTCCAATCATGGAGTGACTCCTGTACTCACTAGCAGACATTATGTAAATAAATCTGCATAGAAAGGCCCAAGGCAAACCTTTTCTTAGGATAATTTATTTTATTTTTACTTTTATTTATTTATTTTTGCTGGGAAAGATGCCATCTGAGCTAGCATCCGTTGCCAATCTTTCTCTTTTTTTCCCTCCCCAAAGCCCTAGTACATAGTTGTATATTTTAGTTTTAAGTCTTTCTAGTTCTTCTGTGTGAGCCGCCGACACAGCATGGCTACTGACAGATGAGTGGTGTGATTCCATGCCCTGGAACTGAACCTGGGCTGCTGAATCGGAGCAGACTGAACTGTAACTGCTAGACCATCAGGGCTGGCTCTAGGTTAATTTATTTTTGTTAGCCTCAGAAACACTTTGCTTTCACAGACGTTATCACATAAGGGAAACATTAGTATGATCTTTTAAAATAGGGAAACAAAAACAGGAAATTAAGTTGCCCAAAGAGACAAATTAACATAAATCCAGTTTTCTTCATTTCAAGATCAAAATTTCCCGTACTAGACCCTACCTGAGAACAGATTTTCTTTAAGTGGTGGTAGGAGACGTTCTCTTTCAGTACAACTCCAATATTTCCTGGTTGCAAATGTATCATTGCAGAATGGCTGTGGGTCTCCAAAAGCCCCTTCCTTTCTGTCCTGAACGCCCCCAGTGCCCCAATAAGCCCTTTAGGACCACCTTAATTGGGGAATGTAGTCACTTGGAGGATCCTATATTGGCTGTATTTCTACTATTGTAACACTGAGTGCTGCTCATTTCAGTGATGTGGTTTTTAAATTTTTCAGGATCAGAGCATACGGTCAGCTTCAGTTTTAAAAATGTTGTTTGGGTTAATGATGTGTCCGAACACATGAACGTTCATCCCTGACCTCTTGACTAAAGAGCCAGGGAATATTTCTATCTGGTCAAGACTTACTGGGATTCTGCAGAGCCAGGAAATTGGAAATTGGCTAGTTGATTTGACCCAACTGCATTTTGGCTGCCCTGCTGACCATAAATATGATGATATAATTTTATACATCTTAAATGTTTTTAAAATGACTAACTTGAAGGTTCAAAAGTCTGGAGAAAAAAGAAAGCAAAGAACTACTTTGAAAGAGGATATTGAGTTGCACAGATGGTCCTATTTTTTTCACTGTTTTTAAAAAAACGTGCCTCATTCAAATGGCCTTGCTGGCACTCTGACAGCAAATATTTATGAGTGAGAAAAAGCGAGAGAGAGTGAATGATGGATACTTTACTTATGACTCAAGTGCTTTTAAAGTTTTAAAGTTATATTTCTGATCTAAAAAACCTGAAATATATCAGAGGAATCTCTCTAGTATCTTCTGAAATGAAAGAAGGTATTGGAGTGACTTTGGATGCAGACCCTGCAGAATTTCTTGAATTTTCATTGCAGGTTAAAACAACCATTTTAGGCTTGAGAGAATGTCTCAAGACCATTTCTTTTCTCTCTTCTCTTATTCTACTGTTATTCAGTCAGCTTTGCTACTAGGTATAGAGGCAAGGAAAAAGAGGTGGACGGATGACTAGAGAAAGAAACCATGTTCTCTGAGAATCTGCTAGAAACGTTCTGGCATTGGGAGCATGTTGAGTGAAATGCTTTGGTAAAGCTATGTACACAAGATACTGCTGGAATGCCCACTGTGTAAACATTATTGAATAACTATAATTTTTTAAGGTTAGAGGAGCTCTCACTTGCCTCTGTGAAGGAGTTAAAGAATAAGTGAGTTCAGTAGTGTTGCTAGAAGAGAGATGTGTGTATGTGTGGGGGGATTAGGGAGGTCACGGTGGAACATAATAGAACATGTGAATAGTTAAAAATCTTTATTAAAACTTGACTTTTTGATAATTCATGGAGGCCATAATTATGGCATTCCTTATTGTCAGGGCTTGGTTTATACTAGGCTCTTAAACTTTTGTTGAATAAAGTAATCTATGCATATGACAGTTATGGTGAAAATGATGGGAAAATTGTTACTGAATTCTACCATTACTGTCAATTGAAGAACAGACATATTAAAAGGGAATTTAGAGGGCAAATTAGGTTGTTCTAAAGGATCAATTTTAAGTATAGCCTAAGAATTTGATCGCAGTGATTCTACCTGTTTTGATAGATATATTTTTATTAATATATATAAATATTCATAAAATAACTATATGTACTAAATAATATATCTAATTTAAAATAGATTATTTAAAAATATGTTTATTTGGTTTAAATGATTAATGGTTAAATGGTTAAAAACAGGGATTATATGGGGAGAAAAGCACAAGTGTTTTTGGACCTATTTTCAAGAGCAAAGTAGGGCCCTATACAGCTTTAACTAGATTCAAGAATTTGGCACATTTAAGCTTGGAGTTGAGAAAGTTTCCTGATTTAGAAGAAAGCACCTGTTACAGTTGAGTATTGGATGTAACTATGAGTATTTTCCAGAAACATCTGTCTGTTTTTGCTATAAAATAAATCAGTTATGACTTAAACATTCTGCAGCCAGATCAGTTGTTGCTGCGGGCGAGGGAAGGATTGCGAAGGGGCAGGAGGAAACGTTTGGGGGTGACGGGCATTGTCACAATATTGACTGTGGTGATGGTTTCATAGGTGTGTATACATAAGTCAAAACTCATCAAAATGTACACTTTTGATACATGTGCAGTTTATTATGTTATGAAATGTGTGGCTTATCCTATGTCAATTATGCTTCAATAAAGCAATTTTTAAAAATAACTTCTGCAGCCTATGGTGTAGCTAGTACTGAAGTGGCCAAGGGCTCCTTCATTGTCCACAGTCCTATTCTAATCTCCCAGGCTTCAGTCATGAATCACACAAACTTTGGTTATGGGTTCAGATTCTTATGGGCATTTACAGTGATGGCAGATAAAGGGGTGTCTTTGATGGGGCAAGGGAGTTGCTATTGTATTACTCTGGTTTTTTGTGTCTGGGAGGAAGATTAGTCCTGAGCTTTTTGCTGAGGCAGATTGGCCCTGGACTAACATCCGTGCCCATCTTCCTCTACTTTATATGTGGGACGCCTGCCACAGCATGGGTTGATAAGCGGTGCATATGTCCGCGCCCGGGATCCAAACCTGAAGTGGAGCACACGAACTTAACCACTACACTACCAGGCCGGCCCCTGTATTACTCTGTTTTGACCCTTTTTTGGGCAAGTTTGTATCAGTAGTTGTGAATTGCTTCCTTTTAATAGTTTCTTATCATCATGTGAGTTTCCTCTTTTTAATTAAAAAAACTTAATATAAAATTAACACATGCTTATTGTAAACAATCAAAAATTCAAGCAATAAGAAGTGTACAAAGCAAAAAGGGAAGTCCATTCCTTTCCTATACTCCCAGTCCATTTCCCAGGGGAAATATTGTTAACAATTTGATGTACATCTTTCCAGACTTTATATACGGAGGAGTGTGTGCGCATGTGCGTGCCCATGCATGTGTGTTTATATTGCTTTTATTACTTTATTGTATTACTTTTACAAAAACAAGATCATATTGCACATTATTATTCTGCAACTTCCTTTTTATTTTTTCCTCTAAAAAGTATCATGGGTATTCTTCCATGTCAGTAAGTACAGATCTACCCCTCCTTCTCTCCCTCCCTCCTTTCCTTCCTTCTTTTCTTCCTTCCTTCTCCTCTCCTCCTCTCCCTCCTCCCTCTCCCCCTCCTACCTCTCCTCCTCCTCCTCCTCCTTCTTCTTCTTCATTTTTTGTTAGTTTTTGGCCTGAGGTCTCCTTAAGGAAAAGCATCACAACAGGAATTAATCATTATTGTGCACCTATGTGCCAGGCACTGTCTAATTAATTTTTAGTGATCTGGCAGAAGTTGCCAATGACATTGCTGTGGCATTGAAGCTGTGACATATGTAAAAAGCCTACTTCTTGGTACACACTAGGTCCTCAATATTTTTTTAAAGTAGGATTGGAAGATTACCTCTCTATTCTGGGAGAGTATTTTTTTTTTATTGAGGTCACATTAGTTTATAACATTATATAAGTTTCAGGTGTACATCATTATATTTTGACTTCTGTATAGACTGCATCATGTTCACCACCAGAAGTCTAGTTTCCAGATGAAATATTCATAAACCTTTAAGATCTGAAGCCTGTGAACAACTGGGGGAGATATGAGAAGAACAAATGTCTAATTTGTTCTTGTTGCTGTTGTTGGGAAACAGGAATTTGAGTTGAGGATTTTTAAGGAGGCCAGTTTTTTTATTTTTAAAAATAACTGGGTCTTCTTGGGAAAGTCAGAAAAGAACTTAAATGCTTCCCAATTGAGGTGTAAAGTCCTACCACTAGAGAAACAGCTGTGAAAAGACAGATTCTAGAGCAGAGGTCATGGGCTGGCAAGCCAATGAGGCCTGAGGGTATGTTTAGTTGCACTTCACAGTGCTTTTAAATTGTTTTAATTGATTGCCAACATCTGAAAGTCAGATTTCACATAAGGACCTAGATTTCTGGCCTCTCTGGAAGAAGGGGAGTCTCTGGCCCCCCTAGGCCTCCCTTCCCTCAGGGCAGCTGTAGCTGAGTAGCAGCCACCCCTTTAGGTCGAGCACCTTCCTCAGTCTCTGCTCAGTGTTCTTTGCTCACTGAGACCATCTTGCTGTTCACTGTAGTCATCCGAGTTGTAACCTCTGCTGTCAAGTTTACTGCTTAGTTTTGCTTCGGTGTGAGATGGAAGTGATAGCCAGTCTTTAAAAAAATGGCAAAAATATAGTACATCAAACTATAAAATAATATTTGACTTCTTTCTCTCCAAATTTGACAAGAACCTTTATTACACTTCAGGAAAGCACAGAGACCTGGCTAAAACATAGAAACTTCTTTTATTGTGTAGAAATTACCCTTGCGAAGGATATGAAGCATATATTTAATCTCAAAAAGTGGATGATTTTTAATGTCTTTGTGAATTTAATCTTAAGTAGAAGAGGCAATTGAAATTTTAAATAAAATCTATTTATATTGGTCATAATTTTAAATGAATGATTAAAAACGCATCTATTAAAAGTTTGATTAAATCAGTAAAAAGTTTTTTTAAACTGCAAAAAAATCATAATTTCTGAATTTCATTTCGATGTATAATTTTGACAAAATTGCACTCAAAATTACACTGTAATAAGCAGCTTTGAACATATTCTTTTCTTATTTTTAATTATTTTCCTCGGATGTTTCTAGAGCAGGTTCCTGGATCAAAGGGGATGAGTATTTACATGATTCTTAGTTTGTTTTGCCGAATTATTCTAGAAAAAGATGTAACATTTACATTATCTCTAGCAAGACATGAAGGTGCCTGTTTTTTCTTTCTTCCCAAAACTTTCCCCAGAATGGGTTTTTATAATTTTTATTTATTTGTGTAAAAACTATTAAAAGGAATTGTGTATCTTGGAACTAATTAAAATTTAGAAGTTTGTGTCATCAGTTAGCTGTTGTTGTATAACAAACTATCCCAAATCTTAGTGGCTTGAACAACAGTCCTTTATTATTTCTCACAGTCTATAGGTGGGCAGGGCTGCTCTGCTCGTCTGTGATGGCTTCAGCTGATCGCGGCTGGGCTTGCTCAGGTGTCAGTGGTCAGTTGGTGGGTTGGCTGCGGGCTGGCTAATCTAGGATGGCTCATCTGTCACAAGTGAGCTCTTCTTCGTGGCCTCTCATCCTCTAACAGATTTGCCCAGGTTTGTCCTCATGGCATGGTAGGGTTCCAGGAGAGTAAGGGCCACTTGACGCCTATGCTTAGAACTGGCACTCAGTCACTTCTGCCACATTCTATTGGCAAAAAAAAAAAAAAAAAAAAAAAACGGCCAGCTCACATTCAAGGGCTGGGAAAAAACAGACTCTCTCTCTTGATGGCAATAACTCAAAGTCACATTACAACGGGTGTAGACACAGGGAGAGGTGGAAAATCGGGATCCTTTTTGCAACCGTTATACCGCAACATTCAAATGAATGTTGTCCTTCAACGTTGTTGTCTTTAAGAGCCCTGTACACATTCCAACGATGTACCCACTAATTAAAAAATAATAATTAGAACCTTTCTTGGACTCTCCTTCTAAGGGGAGTTATCAGCCAATTAAGAAAATCAGTTTGTTCTTTATAGTCATCCATTTTATCCAACATTCTTGGTTCTAGGTAATTTTTTGTGATTCCTAAATACCAAATCCACGATAAAAGAATTTCAAAATTGACCTCCATCAAGGCTATTTAAAAGAATGTAACCCACACTTTGAAATCAATCCAAGATAAGCATTCTAAAATGTTTAAAACAAAGACTGTATCACTGGAATAAATGGAGAGCATGACAAACCTGATTACTTTGCAGTGATCAACTATTTTGTGTGTATTTTTTCTGGACTATTTTTTAAAAGCATTGCTTTAAATTTGGTTGTATAAATAAATACTGACTTTAGATAAATTTGGGGGTTCAGTATATCTTAACACCAAATTAAATTTTCTCCTAAAGGAGCTTACTGTTGATTCTTATTTATGTTGCAAATTGCAGCAAACTAACTGGATTTTTTCTTCATTTTGCTATTCAGATAATGTTTTTGGAGAAAAAGAACATGTTTATTCTCAAATCATCCCAGTTCAGCATTGCTATCATAAGGATTTCTAGAACCTAATATCTTAGATACTGCTTTTGGTGGCCTTTAAAAAAACAGTTTATATAAATTTTATCTCCTAAGGGAGTTCACTTGGATTGTCCTTCAGGGACAGTTATTATAAGAAATATGTACCTATAAAGTTAACCAAGATTTAGTAGTCAATTTTGTGTTAGAATTTCCATCATCTGGCCATGTATGTTTGGGTCTAAATCTCCCTGAAGTTGACATTGATGAGAAACTCAGAAGATATAGACTCCGATACATCCACTTTTAGAAAAAACTCCTTTATTGGGAAGTGCTATTTGAAGTCAGCAAATGGGAGCAGAAATCCCTAATTCCAGTATTAGTGATCTCATTCACCTGGGGACAGCTTGCGCGAGTTTGTTAATATGAAATGCCAGCAAGCATTCATGTTTTGGGGTTTTTCTGGTCCCTTTGTCACTCATTAGAAGAGATTGTCTCCTCTTCACTTGAACTTAGAGTTCAGTTTAGTTCAAGTCAATAGACTGGAAAAATAAGAGTAGATATGTCCATGTAAGACTTAGAAACCAACCTGGACGAAGGATGCTAAGTCAGGTGCATGGGTTACAACTAGTGGCTGGGTGCATGTTCATGAATGTGATATACGTATTTAACCTTGTCCTGTTTCTGTGCCACCTCCAGCAGGTTTTTATGGGACTTTACGTTTGAGATCAATTGTACAACAGATTGGAGATTTGGAATCTTGGGGTCTCAATGTATGGGCAAGTCATTTAATTTTCCTGAATCCATCTGAATTTCTCCATCTGTAAAACAGGCATAAAATACCTACTCACAGGTTGCTTCATGAATCAAATGAGATAAAGTAAAACTACCACTAATAAAGAATAGTCATAACTTGTGTTTATTGAGAACTTCCTGTGTGCCAGGCACTCTTCTAAGGATTTCACATGCATTCACTCATTTAATCCTCCTGGCAATCCTATTATCTCTATTTTGCATTTAAGGAAACGGAGACACAGTAGTATATGAAAACTCTTGGAAACCTCTAAAACACATTAAACAAATGTAAGCTACTGTCTTAATTCTCTCCATAGTATACTTTCCTCTATCAATTTGACCTAGGTCCACCATTCAGAATCCAAATCTGTGTTTTGCCCCATTTGTATCAAAATGCTCTCTCTCACCCTCTAAGGTTTCCTGAGGATACCATGACGGTCACAGTGGTGTATGATAACTCTGAGGCAACAGAGCTCTGTGCAGCTCAGCACCTCTACCTCAAGCCCATAGCAAAATTGATGATCAACGTATTACTCCCAGAGAGTACAGAACCTCTGAGGCCCTTCTCTAACTGGGAAGTTCTTGACCAGCTGAAGAGCCTGATTTGCCCTGACCAGTTCACCACAGTTCGGCTCTCCAAGAGTACAAAGGACTTCATCCTATTTGAGGGTGAGGCTGAAACACGAAATTTGGTTCAGATCCTGAAGGCAAAGTTACATGGGAAGATCATCAAGCTAAATGGTTTGAAAACAGACTTAAAAGTAGTGGCTACAGACGCCCAGGGAGAGTGGGAACACTTCCCCAAGGAAAAGGAGGCTCCCTCGAGTGATGGGGCTGAAGATCAGGACCATGATAATAGCCCAGATTCCATATATTTCCAAGGCCTGCCCTGCAAGTGGTTTGCACCGAAAGGTTCCAGCGGGGAGAAGCCATGTGAAGAGATCCTTCGGGTGGTCTTTGAAAGTTTTGGGAAGATCAAGAATGTGGATATCCCTATGCTTGACCCCTACAGAGAAGTGATGACTGGTGGGAGCTTTGGGAGTTTTAGCTTTGGCTTGCAGACATTCGAGGCCTTTATCCAGTACCAAGAGTCAACTGACTTCATAAAAGCCATGGAGTCCCTTCGAGGGATGAAGCTGATGCTTAAAGGAGATGATGGGAAGGCTCTGGCATGTAACATTAAGGTAAGAAGTAGCCAGAGTTTCTTTTATTTCCCGCTCTTCAGGTGGTCCTAAGTAAAAGCTAGAAGAAAGCATCTAGAATAAAGTTCCTTAGACCCTACTCGGCTCTGATCAATAGCTAATGTAAAGATTGTGTTGTCATTAATACATGGACATTTAGGAAGAAAAATAATCCTGATTTGAACATTCTTCTACTATCAGGCATGTCGCCAGCTGTGGTTTTAAAGAGATGGTTGGTAAAATCTGGGGCTCTGCCCTAGCTTCTTGAGGGCATTAAAGGATTCTTCATGGCCCTTGTGGAACTATGTCATATGCTTATTCTATTTGACAAGTTGCTGAGAGAGAGGAATACACACAGTTTGAAACCATAAGGATAGCAGTTTACTCCCTTTTTACTCTTGGGGTCACAACTTACAGTTTCAGGATGTCTGTCAGGTAAATTGCTAAATCATAATCTCAACAAACTTGGATCCTTTCCTTTCAAAATCAGCCTGTCTATCCAATCATGTCGCCTCATTGATGTCTGAATGCTTGATCATCTCCTTCTTGAAGTCTTAATCCAGCAGAGGAAAAGGTGTGCCTAAACCTTCCTTTTTCTCTCAATCAGTCTTTAGCATGCATTTGGATTTTCAGCTCAAGTAGCTTCCTGTGTATGAGAGTGTGTGTGTGTGTGTGTGTGTGTGTGTGTGTGTGTGTGTGATATGTGTTATGTGTGAAGCTACTTAGGTTAAAATGTATATTTTAAAATTATAAGCTATTCAGACAAAAGATATAGCAAATACTATAATGACCACCCATATACCATTGCCCAGCTTAAAAAATAAAATGTTACCAGTGAGATGAGAAACCACCCCCCTCTGTGTACCCATCTTCCCTCACATTTCCCTCCATCCCCTTAAAGGTAACCATGATTGTGAATTTATCATTCTTGTGCATATTTGAATAGCTACTTCTTTTATTTTTGAAGCAGATCTATTTGTAGTGCCTTGATCGGACTTGCACTTTATTTTGAGATTTGCAAAGTAGTTTAATAATCACTATTGTCAGATCTTGTATCTCATTAAGTCAATTTTCCTGCATCTTTGCTCCTCCCCCCCACACACACTTTTTGACTATTTTTATCTCTGGTGATTAAAAAAAATACATTAACTCGGTTGATTTTTATGACAAACCAGAGGTAATATAGTCACCTCTCTGAGAGCCTGTGCCCATGATGGCACTGTGATGCCACCTATGACTGTAAAGCGAGCTTCCCAAGGGTTCTACCAAAGAAAATTCTGGAGCCCACAAGGACTGTTTGACAAGTGACTGAGAAGCAGTGGACAGTATGGGTATTGGGATTCAGAGAGTATATTTTTAATTCATTTGGTTTTGAATTGCCGTGTACATATTAGTTTTATCTCTCTGGCCTGGGATACCCCCAGCCACTGGCAAACTTTTCTAATGAAACTTTGAATTGTTTGGGGGCAGGTTATGTTTGATACAACCAAACACTTCAGCGAAGGAGCTATAAGAAGGAGAAATCAAGAAAGGCTAAAATTACTAGAGCTAGAGGAAGAAAGGAAAAAAGAAAAGAAGAGAGAAGAGGAAGAGGCTGAAAGGTGAGGAGACCAACTTTAATGAAGCGGGTTTTTTATTTTTGATATATGGATTTATCCCTTTGGGTGAATGGCTAGACTTGATAGGTACCATTGAGGTGAGGGGCGGCAAGAATTGGTACAGATTGGAGAACTCCATGAAAGCCTACAGTCTTTCAACTGTGCTGTTATAAAAGCAAAATGACAAAACAGTTGAAAACAAGAGACTTAAAAAGAAAGTATGTTTGTTAGGGAGAACAAGTAATGAGGAATAATGGGACTAGCCAGATTAAAATATCTGGGAAGAAATGATTGAAAAAAAATAGGGCCAGGAACTTTTATAGTGAAAATCCTAGCCTAACAAATTAAAACTTTTACCAATTTACCTAAAGTTTATCAAATTTTATCTCATCTACCAATTTAAAATTTTAAAAAATTCTTTGTAGGTCTAGAAGAGGTTTTCTTCCATAAAATTATCAATAATCAAACAACCCATAGACAAGAAGGTGTGGATTTGTTGGGACTATATTTCTTGTTGGCCTAAGTTCTTTGTGAACTTAAGGAGCTTCCATACTTATTTCTTTGGGGCTTATCATTGTTTCCCAATTTAGGAGCTTGAAACTAGAAAGGGCTATTGATTGCCAAAGGTTTGCCAAGAAGGTACGAATGTGCCAGAACTACAAGGCTCTGACAACCAGTATTACCTCCTGGCCCCTCCCCTTGCATGTTTATTCTCCCAGTCTTTCCTGTAAATTATAGCCATTCAAAAAAGGAGACAAAGAGTACCCTTCCATATGCCTCTGCTTTTCTGGCTGGCAGGGTGATAGGAGCTCCTTGAGTTCACATCTGTGAAACTTGTCCAGAAGTTGAACCCAGTCAAAGGAATTATCCCCCCCCCCCAAATTTCCAGGCTGAACATGCAGTTTAGATAATCCTCCAGCTTTGGGCTAAATCCTCACTCAGGTAATTGTCCCTTCTTTCCCCTTCCCCACATTTCTGTAAGGGCCTAACCAAAACAGTTTAAATTTTCAGAAAACAGCAGTAAAAAAAGCCCATAATCTTCTAAGCCAGTATGTTTTTATGACAGTGTACCATGTTAAGTAATATGTACCAAGGACCAGTTGTCACCCTTAAGATCGACTTACTTTTATTCGCCTATGTGAAACCAGGTCATGGAAGGTTGTGATCCCAAGAGAAATGAAATCATCAGTGTGAAAGCTGGATCCAGTAGTCCTTGCTTGTGGTTTGAGAAATTGGGGGCTAGAGGCCACTCCTTTGAATTCTGTAGCCACCTTTGTTTTGTTTTGCTGGGAAAGATTTGCCTTGAGCTAACAACGTCTGTTGCCAATCTTCCTCTTTTTTCCCTCCCCAAAGCCCCAGTACATAGTTGTATATTCCAGTTGTAAGTCCTTCTAGTTCTTATGTGAGCTGCCACTACAGCATGGCAACTGACAAACGAATGATGTAGTTCCACGTCCGGGAACCGAACCTGGGCCGTCAGAGCGGAGCGCACCGAACTTGAACCACTAGGCCATCAGGGCTGGCCCTGTAGCCACCTTTTTTTGATACTCTGTCTCTGCATAAGGTCTTCTGTACCTGCTTCTAATTGCCCCACTCAGTTATGTGTTTTTTCCCTTAGACTGGTGTGTCACAGAGTCTTTTATCATCAGTTGTGTCTGTCAGGCCCTGGGGTTAGCAGTGAGAGATTCCTGGAAACCTAAATGATCTGTCCTCCCCTGGCAGGGGGGCAGGAGCAGGGAAGAGAGCAAATGCCTAATAAACACCTTCTGAATGGTTGAATCTTAATCATTGTCCAGAAAAAGAAAAGAGGAGGAGAGGAAAGCCCAGGAAAAGAGGAAGAAGGCCAGGGTCAGGAGGCGAGCCCTAAAGGAAAGGGACAGACACCGGCACAGGAAACACAAGGACGGAGCCAAAGCTGAGGCGCCTCCGGAGCCCGACTCTTCCGAGGAGTGGGAGGAGAGGAAGTACCTGCTGGCTCAGAGGCGGGTGGAGGCCCTTCAGTTGCTACGGGTGCTCCTGAGGAAAATTGCAGCAAGGCTCTTTCCTGGTCGTTCTGCAGTCTTGGTAGGTACTGACCTTTCTGAGACACAACGTTTACATTTAAGCAGCGGCCTATTTAAAGTTGACTCTATGGAAGACTCATTGCATTCACTGGGGATTGTTTTCCACAGGCTGGTATCTAATAACCCCACTTGTGGATTTACAGAAGGGGTACCCAGATCCTCTAAAGGAGTTGTGTCTCACCCCTGCCATCTGGCACAAACACCTTGTGTTTCTAAACTTCAGGATGATTTTACCCAGGGTGATGTAGCTAATGTATGTACTTTTCTGAGTTCCTAATGGATGTAGCAGAAAATGCCAGGGGGCAGAAATGCATGGTGTGGGTGTTGGGTTTGTAGCCTTCCATTAACTTTGCTTGTCCGTTCGTCTGCAGCAGGTTGGGGTGAGAAGGGAGAGCCTTGAACAGAGACCTTTGTGTAGCAAGCTCCTGTCAGTCTCATCTTAAACTATTTGCTAAGGAATTTCTCATGTCACAGGGCAGTTGTTTTGTTTGGAGAGTTTCAGTTTGGGAAGGTTTTTTTTCGCCCCACTTACTGACCTCCTAAAGATAACCAGACTCAGCAGATGTCCCAAAGTAAAGGCCAGACAGGCTCCCAAAGCGTTAATTTAAAAATCCACATTCACTGTTTTTAAATACGAAGAGTGAATGGCATTAGTGTTTGAGTTAATTTTTGCAGTCTCAACCTTTTTCTCATTAGTGTAGACAGTGAAACTTAATGAAATCAGAATCAGAAAAATCTCACATTTACATTTATAATAAGGCTAGCTGGATCTTTTTTAGTTTACCTTAGTGACCGCGTAGCGTGACTCCTTTTTAAGATTCTATCTTTTTAAATGTGTGTGGTACCTAATTCTTGGCCCCATTGACACCTTATACTGATTACGCAGTCCCCAGGTTCTAATCCCAGCTAATGGGTAAGCGTCGTGCCCTGATTTGTGCCAGGTGTCAGTGGGAGCACGGTACAAACTTCCAGCAGGGTGGGGCCTGTGGGGAGCACCTTTCACCTGCCCTGCGATTGTGCAGAGCAGAGAGCACCACAGACAGAACCATTGTCACGGCCACATTTTCCAGTTGCCATCTTGCTTCTGACTAAGGCGGGCAAGAGGGGGCGGCTCAGAGGCACCATCACCTGCAATGCATAGGAAGAGGCTGGAATGAAAGAAAGATAGTTTATCTTTTAAGCCACTTGACCCTTTTAGACACACATTTCACCACCAAAAGACTAGAACAAGTCTTTTCTTGTTCTAGGATTTTCTGGGAGGGCTGTAGAATATTTCTTACTCCTCTTCATATCCCCAGTCCCTAGCACAATACTTGGAACAGTAAGTAGACTCATCAATTTGTGAACAAATGAAAACAGGGTCTTGTACTTTGAAGGTATGTAAACTGTGGTGCCTTCTAACGTAAGGATGGGCACAGACCTAGTAAAAGAGGCTCATATTAGACTGACATTTAATTTTGTACCTCCTATTTCCTCAGTGCAATATTGTCCTAATTTGGATCTATTCTAGGTGTTATTAGAAAGCTCTTCAGAACAATGTCCAAAAGCCCAATTTTCTTTGAAATGTTTAATCTGTTTAGTTTTTCATGTGAAATTTTTAACCTTTTTCTTTGAAGGGATCCACACAGTTTAATCCACAGGAGGTAGACGTTGCAGGCCCAGAAGCTAGTCATGCCCCGAGGAACACAGTGGGAACTCTGAAGAAAGAAGAGTTAAATGCTCAGTATCTTCAAAATCAAGAGGAAATGCCAAAATATCAGGTTGCCAAGTCAGACAATAAACGAAAACACAAAATGAAGAAAAGAATTAGGGCTCGCTTACGTAAATCTTCCCACCACTTTGGGGGAAAAAAAATAAGATATTCAGCTAGAAAAGAAAGAACTGGAAAATTGTTAATCTATGAATACAATCACAGTTTTGTCTCTGACCATAATGCCTTGCAGATTGCAATGATTCAAGGTCGGTCTCTGGAGAAAGAAGACCGCCACAGTTTTAATACATCCTATTCTTCCAGATTGTCTGAGAGAGACCATGGGAGGAAACAGAAAATCTATGAAACAGATGAATTTATTGACTATCTACTAAACTATTACCAAACTCCAAAATATTCCCGTATCTGCTTACAACCAAGTCACATAACAAGCACGTGTCAGTGGCAGAGGGCTGTCCATACTAAGGGAAATGGACTTCAAATCAATTTGAGAAAATGTAAGCCTCACTCAGCCAGTTTGAGCCAAATGCAAAACCTGGAAAGGAGACAACAGGTTCAAGAAGATGATTACTGGGCAAAGATTTGTACTCAGGGTCTTGAGCATAAACCACAAAAGAGAGGAAAAGTAGATTATGCCAAAGAATGTACTAAGGAGGTTAAAAATCATTGCAAGGACACAGCCAGTGAAGCTGGTGATCAGCTGTCCCCAACTGATGGAAAAAGCCATCTTTTGGAAAAGACTCATGCTTACCAGGTCAAAGAGTCCAAATCCACAAGTCAAAGCCGAGCTTCTTCACCCAACAGGTCAGCAGACTTAGATTTGGAGTTGACAGATTTCTTAGAGGAAATTAGTAGTGATTCTGAATGCTTTAGTGAAACCTTTAGCATAAACAAAGAGGAGAAAGAGAAGTCTGTGGCCACATATGATAGCTTCCCAGAAAAAGCTTCTCTTGATGCTGATGAAATTGTCACTTGCAATCGAGAAATTAGGTCAAGTCAGCAAACCTTGTATTCAAAGTGGAAACATGATGGGGAAGAAAAATACTCTAAATACAAGCTTCAAAGACCAGGCAAAAGGTCCAAGTATGAAGTGAGATATTCATGGCTTGAGAGTGAAAACAATTCCATTAGAGACTGGGAGAGCAACAGCATAAAGAGGGAGATACTAGCCCCCAAATACTTGTTTGATGAAGGCTATTACCGCCAATCCAGTTCCAGTGGGCTATTAGATGACATCACAAGGAAGAGGAGGAGGTTTAGTAATAGTACATTTGACCAGAAAGTGAACTATAGGCCCTCTTATGTGCCAATAACATCATCAAAAAATGCTAATGCTTTCTATTTGGGCAATATTCCTAAAAGAAGAGAGACTCCATGGAAGTCAGAATATAACCAGGATGCAAGAAGGTTTAAAAGATATGAGAATTCTCAAGATTTCATGCTGAATTCTGATAATTATTATATTAGACAGAGCAGTCAGGGGCACATTGACTATGGAAGCTATTTAGGAAACAACTACACTAGTTCTTTATATTTTCAAATGTTTTGATGGTCTCTTAGATCAGGGACACCCTTATTCACAATAAACAATTTGCAAGAATAAAATTTAAAACCAAATATAGCTATGTATTTAGGAATTACAGAGCAAGAGAGTGACATTTAAAAGCTTGAGCAAGGTCAAATACAAAACCTTGTTTCCCTTGCCAAAGTATAAAACATAGATCAAAATGACTGCAGGTGTGTTAGCAAGATTTGGAAATACAAAACATCCAGATTCTGAAGCTTGGTAAACCAATGTGCTTGCAAAACTTCTTTATCCAAGGACAGACGTTTCTACAGTTCAACTGCAACTTTAATTTGGTGCCAGCAAAGGAGCAAATTAACATTGAGAGGAGTTGAGATAGCCCTCTATGGCTCTTTAGCTGTCATAATGTCATTTAGTACCATTTATCTTCAAAGGGGACAACAGTGAACAAATAAGGATCTTTTCACATGTTCTTTGATTTGGTCAGAAACACCACATGCAGCAACAAACTTTGCTGACTTTTATCTAGAAATAACCCTAGATAAAAGGAGATGACAGCCAGGGCATATAATAGACTTCTCCGTGACGTTAGAGGGTTTCACAAGCACCCACCAGAAGGAAATTAATCTTATCAATATGTTCATAGTACTTGAAGAGTTGTCTCTTTAGAAACAAAGTCTTGGAAGAATCTAAAAGGGGCTCAGATTGTCCTTTGAGGCTTAAATGGATAGTGGACCATTAGCAGAGTTGTTTTTTGAAGAACCCCATGTCATTCCATCCTAGAAAAGCAACAGGATTGAAGTGATGCAACCAGTGGGATTTGCAAAAGAAAATATTGAAAGATCCTGGAGCACCAGTAATGGCACTTGGGAAGAGAGGACATGACAGTATTCCATTTCAGGTTATGTAATCCTTTCACTCAGGGTTGGGTGACATCAGTTTGTAAAAAGCCACTGAATATCCCCAAACTGACTTTTATAAAACAGAAACAAGTGCCTCCTCAATCCTCAATAATGCCATCAAGTTAGGAAGAGTCAAGGGCAAAGCCCATAGTTTTCTAGTTGGGAAAAAATTGTATGTGTCTAGGATTTGTAAACTCGTAACATAAGCAATTTATCTTTTTACCTCCTGGTTTTGGACTTCTTGAATATGTTTTTAAATTGAGATATTTTATAGATTCGTAAAGACTTACATCTTAATGCAGTGCATGTTTTGTTGAAAGCTTGGCTGATTCATTCCGCCTTATATTGGATTTAGGACCTCAGGGGCAGTAGATGACCTTTTTCTTTTCCCCAACAAAGCTATGCCTGACTTGGCAATTGAAGACATCAATGAGATTAGACTGCCTGCAGCAGGAAAAGGTGATTTTAATCCACAGAAGTAGTGGAAGGCAACATTTTCATATGCCATGATTCATTTCAGACAGTCTTAACTTGATATTCTGTAGAAAAGCACCAGCTGGTAGAGTCAAGGTGGGATGCCAGTCCTTGTGGTTGCCCAGAATGACGAGGCATGATGTGTGCTCAGAACCAGCCTCTTGAGCAACCTGATATCTGTAGGGGCTGCAGAATCTTCTAATTTATCTAAAGTAGGAGCCACAAGTGGTTTCACTGATCTCTTCTAATCACATTTAATAGAGGTATGCTAGTACGTACGAAAGTTCAGAAATGAATGCACCATAGCAGATTATGTTTATTATTAATAAGATAATAACCAATGAATGATTTGTTGGCTCTCTTGTATTCAATTTCACTTTCAAGCCGCTGACTCTGCCATCGAAACTAGGTTTGGCTTGTCAAATCTGAAAAATCACTCATGGGGCGAGTGCCTTTTCTCCTCCGAGGACTAGCAGTGACCATTAATGTTCCAAGTACTGTTGTCCAGAGTAGCCTTGTAAACTACTAACAGCTTGTATTTTGTCAGACAACTTTTGGTAAGTAGGTATTATTCTCCTTCAATGAGACCCTCCCTCCTTATTTTTTCATGTTTCATGCCATTAAAACAAAGAACATTACGGGTTTGTAATGGAAAGCAGCTATGCTGGTTTTGAAAAAAAAAAATCTCAATTTCTTTCATAATTTTTCTTTGCAGAGATTTTAGGCATGAAACCAATTTGCTGCTCAGTAACCAGACATAAAAAAGAAATTGCAGAATACAGCATGTGCAATTTTTTTTTTTTATAATATAACTGGTGCTAAGTCACTTCTATAAAATATCTTTGTCTTTTGTTTTGTTTGCTAAATACCATCCTGGGACCTAGAAGAAAGTAAAAATACTGGTTTTATGTTTACTTTCTGTACAACCTTGGATTTTTATGACTTGTGGTAATGCATTCTAGGTTTGAGTAAACCTCTTTTTGGTGTAGACTTTTGACAAGGAAGAGAACAACTGATCTTGTAATTTCAGTTGAATGGCTTAGTAAGGAATGAAAAGAACCGAAAATATTGTAATCACTTTCTATTAATTAGCATTGTTATTCCTTGTTGTACTGTTATTTAAGTGGTGCAAAAGTATTTTCTCATATCTTCTATGTCCTATTAAGTAAAGGCCTGAACTTTAAACTTCGTCTTTTTAAATGGATGTTTTCAGGTTTTTCCTTGTATGTACTGATAGTGCTTTAAGAAACTGAACATCTGTCAATGTGTTTCTGTTCAATTTGTTTGAATTTCTCAGGTAGAAAGCCATGTAACCTGGTAATTTTGAAAATAAGAACCAAATAAATGCATTTTTATTTGTTGCAAGACTGTTTAAAAAATGTTAACTTTTAAATAAATGCTGATAATTCCTCTTTGGGGGGGAAGTTTCTACCTGTAGTATGCTGCTTTGCACTAATGTTGCTGTTCCTTTTTCTCATTTGCATTGTTAGAGAAATAACACATATTTAATTTTCAGATATATTAAAAATAAAATTGTCATAGTGAAGAGTCTTTGTTCATTTGCCACATGTATTGGCTAGAATGTTGCACATCTATGATAACATTTTCTATGAAAATATACACGTCTAGTTTCAATACTGTTTCTATGCAACTTTTCCCTTTATGATGCTCATTTATGGGAATTGGCTCTGTCAGAGCTTGTGAAACCAGTTTTATTTTCATTTTGGATAAATTGAAATCATGGCATTTGGACTTAAGACTATCCTCCCTTCAGCAAAGGTTTTATCAGTGCTATTAAAAAGTAGCAAAATGGACTCTGGAATTTCATCTCATTCCTTCAGCACTTGGTGGAAGTGTTCAAGTTATACAGTATCCAAAACCCAGTGTGGGTGTGGGCTGGGGAGTCTAGTCAGAGAAGGCAGGGGCCTCAGTAATCAGTCTGGGACCATTCAAGAGTTAACTGTATTTTCACATGAAATGTACAGCAAACTGCCTCTAAGTATTATCTAACAAAGGGAGACTGTACCTTAGAGTACAGTCTAGGCACTTTAGAGCTGAAACGGTCCTCGTTGGATTCCAAGAGCTCTTTCTGAAACAGCAAGGGTTGTATGGATGCTTGTTCTGGATCTAGGATTTGTGAAAGTTTGGCCTTCTGAGGTAGGGTGAATGTGACGTTATGCAGAGAAGCCACAGATATGGAGAGATACTGAAAACACGTAGCCAATGCTGCTTATGAACCCTAGATGCTGGTACTGAGAACAGTATCTCTGCCGGGAGTTGGAGGAAAGCGGGTGGAGAGCAGATGTTCACCTGACACCTCCCCACAGACGTGGTGGTTGTAACAACCACTCCCTTGTCTTCTTGAATGGCGCCTTTTTCATAATATGGCTTACGAATATGCTAGCTGGATTTGAGAAGTGTTTAGATCAAAGTCCTGTCGTATAGTAATATCCCTTTACATGTAATCAATACAATGTTGATTTAGTTCTGAATGGAGAGGAATCAGGCTATTTGGGGTTGAAGCTTTAACCAGGCTCTTGATGTTTTTCTCTTGGCATCAGACAAACCTGTTTAACTTTGTAGAAGCAATAGCCTAATCTTCACATCTAAATGAGATTTCAGGCTGCAAAGGTGACCCAACTTCTCTCTCCCCTCCCTTCCCCAAAGCATATGGTGTACCAGGTTGCTTGGCACAATAGGCAACTCAAATTATTTGTTGAATGAAACCTAGTAGAGGAAAAGGGCACATTTAAAAACAACGAAAACAGGCAATATGGTTTGATAACATAAAAAATGGAAAGCTGTGAGCCCTCTTTGGTTCAGGGAGTACATCCCTTGTAAGAAAACTCTGCCAATTTTAACATTAAAATGGCAAAATACTAATAGAGTAATAGGTTGTCTGTGTTTATACAACCAACTGCATATGCAAATCTGATATCCTTCTTTTGACATGAGGTGAATTAACTTTGCTACTATAAGGATTCCTGAATACTTTCTTGATCGGATGACACATTAAAACACTAACAACGAAACTCTGCCTTGGCACTTGGTACCAACGCCTTCAGTAAAGTTACCCCTCAATAACCTTGCTATAGACCTCAAGGCAGAGGTCTGCCTTTGAGAGGTTAGCAAGTTCTGACTTAAAGAGGCAGAATTTGACAAGTCACAAAAAACCAATTCATTTCACTATTTCTTTTTTCGGTGAGGAAGATTAGCCCTGAGCTAACATCTGTTGCCAATTCTCTGCTTTTTTGCTGATGAAGATTGGCCTTGGGCTAACATGTGTGCCCATCTTCCTCTACTTTAGATGTGGGACACCTGCCACAGCATGGCTTGATAAGTGGTGTGTAGGTCCTCACCCAGGATCCAAACCTGAGAACCCTGGGGCCACTGAAGCAGAGCGTGTGAACTTAACCACTACGCCACCCGGCTGGCCATCATTTCACTATTTCTTAACAAGACAAGCTGGTATTTGGTTTGTGGTGTGAGGCCTCTATGAAGTTTTGCCCCTTGTTTCTTTTGGAATCCAAAAAAAATCACTCAAAAGTCAAACTCTGAGTATTAAGCTAAAGTAAAGTGATTAATCTGGTTCTTTAGATTAAGGTTAAAAAAAAAAAAACAAACACCACTTTATACTGGGTAAAACCATTTTATTAACTGACCAAAGCACTTCATTTTGTTTTCTGATTTGAGGTAAACCCATTAAACACAGTTCACAAGAAAACACAATGACTATTCAACTACAATCACAAGAGTTTGAAACCTCACTAGTTGTTCATATAATACTTTTACAAATTCATACAACTGTACAGTCTACTTAAGCTAAGTTTATTGTTAACCAAAAGACCAATATCAAAGACCTAGACACTTGACTACTACTCTTGCAGTGGCTATAGTTTTGTAACAACAGGAGAATCATTTTTCCTTATGAATATACTTTAAAAACCACTTGGCTACTGATGTGTACTGTTTCCTCATTCTTCAGGGCTGGGTGTGAAGGCTCTTAGGAGCGCAAACACCTGTTCCTGTTCTGCATGCCCCTCTCTCACGTCAAATTGCGTAAAATAACTGTTGCCCCACAGTGAACGTGGGGACTGGGAAGATAGTCCTACAATCTTCATGTATTTAGGTTTTTAGGCAAGCAAGCTGATTTTTTCCAAAGCTTTCTTTTGAATGTTCAGGTCCTGTTTTAATCCTCATTGTAGATGACCGTGTTAGTGAGGGCGTCTGAGTGTGCAAAGGAGGAAGAGGACATGATGATGTCTAGAAACACAGTAAATATATTTCCTCCAACTGAGCCCAGCTTTGAGATGTCATTTTGTTCCTGGCCAGCTCTCTGTAATCAATACCAAAACCTTGGGAACACTGCAGATTTGCTTTAGAGGTAGATAAAATAGAAATCATGCAGTTAAGTCAATTGAGAGATAAGGGATTGGCTGTCTTTACAGAACATCATGACTAAAACTTGATCCTTTGTTCTTGGCGCTTGAAGGACTTTGCACATTTAACATTTCTACCTGTTTGGGGGAAATACCCAAGTCTTACCTGTCTCTCAGGAAAAACAAATTTAAATTCAGCCTGTACTAACTACAGATAAAACAAGAACAGTAATAATATTTGTATTACAGCACTGCAGTTCACTTTCTGGATCAGTGACACACAAACATATCATGCATTCATTCTAAGACAAGTTAATTTCATCAGTGTCACTAGTGATGTTAATTAAAAAAATTTACAGCAAGTTCAAAACTTCTCTAAATATTGAAATCACCATGTTTTAAAGACAGACTGGAATGTTACAAATGATTCTGCAAAATACAAAAATAGATATGCTTCCACTGAATGCTTTAATCATTTTTCCGAGCATTCTCATCTTTTGGTTCTTCCTCGTCTGAGTACACGGTGGGCTCCTCCCCCTCCTTCAGCAGTTTGCCCACATGATGATACTTGACTGGAGATAGAGAGGAAAACAAATAGTCATTCTCATGCTCTCTAGAAAATCACATTTCATTTTAAAGCATTTATTAGAGGCCTACAATCTACACAGCAATGTGTTTTCTGGGCTTCTTGAAGGATACAAAGGTGGTTTGTACTACAGTCCTTGCCAACAAGGAATTAAGAGTTTTGTTCAGAAGACAGAAATATAAAATGGGTAGCGATGTCTGACAATGAGCGTGCCAGGTAATGTCAAAATGAGTTGTGTTTGTGTGTAAGAGTGTTTAGAAGAGCAAGGGCTCATTCTGAGTTAGAAGGGTTGCAGAACAATTCATGGAGGAAGAATATGCTTTGGAAAATGTGTAGAAGGATTTGGGGAAGGAGGGATTTCCAGGAAATGAAAATACCACATACAAAGGCATGCGGGTGAGACTGAATGTATCTGGGGAGCAATAAAGAGACCACGTTGGCAGGAGTAGAGTAGGAGTAAGGTTTGCTAAGCAGTGTGGGGAAATATGAAGGATGTGAAAAGCCAGCCTGAGGAATTTGCACTTATCCTATAGGTGACAAAGGGCACTGAAGTTTATGACAAAGGAATGACACGGTAAAATTGTGCTTTGGCAACAATGGTATCATTGTGGTGTATAGAGCAGGTATGGCGAGACCAGGAACAGGGTGACCAGGAGGCTAGCCATTAGATTCACATGTGAAGGAACAAGAGCCAGGAGTAGGGGGGGTTTCCATGGGAATGGAAAGGGAAGGATATGAGATGCTTTAGAGGAAAACTGGAAACATGAGTTAATGAAGTGAAAACTGGAGATTCCATGGGCCGAAATGGGGACTCTGGAGAGGAAGCCACTATGGAGGGGGGCACACGACAGGAGACTTACAACAAGGACTGGAGAAGTGAAGTTAGTATTGGCAAGAAGCAGGTCGCTGGAAATCTTTGAGAAAGAAAGTTCAATTGAATTGTAGGGATAGAAACCATACTGTAGGGAGTAAGGAGGTAGAGAGAGGAAATGAAGCAGTGATTAGGGACATCCACTTATTAGTTGTTTGACAGCGAAGGGAAGGAGTGATAAGTCTAGTGGATGGAGAGGGTATCGGGAGGCAGAATTTTCCCTCAACATAGGGGAAAAGCTCTATGTAGTTAAAGGAAGTGATAAAGGAGACAGGAGAGCACTGGAGGTGTTGGAGAAAACAGATTTAAGAGTGCAAACCAGATGCAAAAGACTTGAGAAGGGAGGGAGTCAGCAAGCCACCACCACAATGGCTGCATAGTTGCGGCCAAGCTCATGCAGAGTTAATCATCTCAGTGTCCAAGGCCAAGAGGGCCTCGTCTCCTCTTTCTGAATATGGGTAGGAATTGGAGGAGTAATCAACCTGTTGAACCAGGTAACCAGAGCTGCTTTTGTGTGAAATGATCATCGGGAACAATCGGAACTTCCCTATTTGAACATATTACAAAGGTCCCTAGGGTGCTTGGGACTGCGAGAGACAAAAGTTGGGTGGCGCCTGAGAAACCTGCCTTAAGGGGAATCCACACCAGCTTTGAGTGTAGTGGAAGTGTCACAAAAGTATTTGGGGCTAGGCCTAGTTTAACGGGGGGGTGGGGGGGAATCACACTTTTACCCCATTGATGAAGGCAAGCCCTAGAAAATAGAGGTCTGTTAGTTATAAATCACAACTCATTGGTTTCATATAGAAGAATCTATTGTTACAAAGGCACGCTTAGGATGCAAAAAATGAAGGACTATGTTAGATAGTTGAATTATGTTTTCAAAGTACAAAGACTTGCCTCTAGACATGAAAGCTATACTTAGACTGCTTGGGATCCAAACTCTAAAGGTAGAGCCGTATCACGCTAATTATTAACCCAGAACTTTCTCTAAGTCAGCATTATTTTCAAACAAAATGGTTGGATTTAGCCAAAGGAGCCAGTAATATTGAACTGATTATAGAGAACAACAAATAGAAAACTATATTTTAAAGAAAAGTCTTCCTCAAAGAGATGGTCATGGTCTTTATAAACTGTTTCAAAGCTGGGAAAGATTATTATTCACATTCTTAGCAGTGAAATGTTGCTAAAGTGATAAACACTTAGGTTTGACAAAAGCCAATTCCTCAATTCTCAAAATTGAACTTAACCCCCATCCTTACTTCCCCTCAAAGACCTCAGCCCATAGCATAAGCCAGGAAACAAGTGTCTCCTTTTTCCTTTCTTTTTAAAAATGCAGACACCATTGTTGCTGGGCAGATTATAAGCATCATTTGTAGATGAGGCCTATAGTTAGGCTCAATTAGATTCAAAGAGAAGCTGTTTTGTAGAATACAAGTCTCCCATTCTTCAACAGAAATGTGGGCTGCTTTTAAACGGCAAGCTCTACAAGTGAGGGCTTATGAAAACCCCTGTTTCTGTAGCCAAGATGGCCACTCTCCTTTCCTCTAAACACCATGCACCAAATCCTAGTGTGGAATCTATGCAAACCTCTCAAAAATTTAAAAAAACAGAGACCCAAGTTTCCACAGAGAACTAGCTAAAAATTGGTATGCAATCACAGCAAGTGACTCAGCACTGCTGCAATTACTTCTAGCCATGAACTTGATCCGTCCAAGATTCAGGAGCCTATCAGAATGCTCCCCAGTTTCAGGCTGCTTTCAGGCTGGTAATAACTATTGTACTGCCCTGAATCCCGTTACTGGTAGAAATTTGACCCAGGCACAATTTAAAAAACGCTTACAAGTGAACTGAGAGTCCCAGTCACTCAGGGTCTCCTGCTGGGCAGGAGTGAGGTCAGAAAGGTCATCGTACTCGTCCTTCAGCGCTTCCTTATCCAGGCAGAACGTGGCAAGGCCCCTGGATGCATCTCTTCCGGCAAAGACCCCGTACGGCCCCTCTTTAAAAACAAAACAAAACCAAAGACCGATTCTTTATTAGACAGTCCATTTCTCTGTGGTTAATACAGAGAAAATGGCTTCTTTACCCACCCACAAACAAGGCCCCCTTTTTGAATATCAAATTCTATTCAGAAACCGTAAGTGATGATGATACTTTGATCTTTATGTAGTGGACACTGAAAGACCTGTTGTCATTAAACTTTTAAATAACTCAAACTAAATCAAAATGTTAAACATTATCATCCCTTTCCTGTGATTTTCAAATAGCTAATAAAAAAGTCATAAATGATTATCTCCTGGGGAAGTGGTAGGGAATGATCCAGGATAATACTGAATTCATGGATCAGAATTCAACTTTAGGACATTGAACCTGGAGCCTGGCTCTGTTCTAGGCAGTTAAGCTACACCAGTGAAAGTTATGTTTTCTTAAGATAATAAACACTAAGGCTTTAGTAAATGAAAACATTTCTTTATAAATGTATTCTGATGTGTTTTGATGAGTCGAAAGTATCTTATCAAGATCTTTGGTTGTGATACTGTATTAAAGATTAAACATGTGGCCTCTGCAGAAGAAATCATTTTATAAGAGTATCAGTGGTTCAGAAATCTATCCACATGTTACATAATCTTCACTGTCAATAACAAAGAGATACCAGAGAGATCAGCTGTCACTGTTTTTGGTGGGTTTGAAGAGAAGACTGTGAAAATACTAAAACTTTCATGGAAAAGAAGGCTGAATCAATACCCCAAAATAATTCTATAAAACATTAGAATGCTATTATATATACTATTATACTGAACTTTTGTCTGAAAGGTGAATCGTTTTGTAGGTACTTAAAGTGGATGTTTAGACATGTTTAAATATCGCACAAGTAAACGAAAAGAATCCAGTGTACTTTAAACAATGTGTTGTTTCCCCAAAGGTAGACTGAGTAGTAACCCTTACATTAAAAAGTTTGTAGGTAACCACTAGGCCAAGTATGAGAATGGATCAAGTTTCAATAGGGTATGGCCTGGTCACCTGAAACCTCAATCCACTAGGATTTTTTTTTTTTTTTTTACAAATTAGGCAAAATTGATGATCAATCTTTAAATGCAAATAAGATTCCAAAGAATAACGGTTGTTTTTGATCATCATTACATGCTACCATTTCCACTAAAGAAGGCAAAAAAAAACTTTCACAGTTTTCACAAATGTACACCGCTAATGGAAATGGTAGCATCTAGTACTTGAAAATAGGCCACTTATACTGGTTTGGACTTCACCATTTCAGAAATTATGGTCAGAGAATACTTAAACATAGTCTGAGGGGAGCATTAAGTCTTTGGAGAATATATATTATTCACCAGAATGTATATTCACTAGAATGTAAGCTCCATGACCAGAGATTTGTGCCTGTCTGTTCACTGCTATCTTCCCGGCACCTAAAAAAGTGCCATGCATAGAATAATAGGCACGCAAATGAATAATTTTTAGGAATCCCTTATAACATGAAGTATCATTTACACATGATGTCACATATTCATGGGCTCACTGGATGACAGTGCAGGGTAGAGACTTAGAGATATCACAAAGGGCCTTCCTTATCATTTTTCAGAGGAACAGTTAAGGCCCAGAGAGAACAATGCTTTGCACCAGGTACACAGCAGGTCAGTGATCCAACCAGACTAGAATCCAGGTTGCCTGACCCCTAGTTTTGTGCTCTGTGCACAGGCTTACATTCCTCTCAATGACTCTGCAAACTACAATCATATGATGGTGGCCCATGCACGTGTTTTGACTACTTTATGGTGTAGCTCACTAATAACAGGTATTTACATGAATATGTTTATTGATAATGCCTCTAGGTGTGCCACTATAAGTGACAAATAATATAGGTGTGGTTTTCAAATTATTTTGACAGTTACATGCCTACAGAAAGTAGGTCTTCTAAATCGTCCACAAGGAAAAACTACTAAGTGGGAGAGTTCCTTAAGAACCTTCACATATCTGATTTTGATTAGTTGGACTGGGAGAGCAAAACAAAGCAGGAGTGAGGATGACCAGATTGCTGCCTTCTATATACTCGTCCCTCTCTCCAGACCAGCGGGGAGAGGGCACCATCAATGTGGACACACTCCCTGAGCTCCCTGTTTTAGAGGAGTCCATATTGGAGAAGCTAAAATCTCTTCCTCCTCCTCTCCAAATATTCTAGAAAGCAGGACTTTCCAAACCTGGCCGCTTCTCAAATTCGCCGGGGGGAGCCTGTTAAAATGCATATTCCTGGACCTCCCCCACAGAGACTCTTCCCTGGTTATGGTGATTAGGCCTGGAATCTGTATTTTTCCTTAAGCGCATCAGGTGATTCTGATCTGCAACCAGGCTTGGAAAAGCCTCATCTCCCAGGCCACTTCAAGCCTGCCCCCTCCAACAGCTCAGCAGTCATCCACCCCTCATTTCCCCTCTGGTCGGCTTTTCCTGAAATCCCCACACCCAGCAGCCTCCATAGCCCTACCCCTTTTGTTTCTCAGGATCCTCCCACTTATCCCTCCCTCCATTTTTAATTTTTTTTTTTGCCTTCTAGTCCTTTCTCTCCTGCTATAGACTAAAATACGTATTACCTTCTCATCTTGTCACATTCCCATTGTCCGCTACATTCAGCCTTCATTCCTCCCTCAATAAGCTCCCTTCCCCTCATGGAACCTCCCCTGTTCACCTTCCAGCTTTTCCCCGTCTGCCACACACAGCACGCACACACACATACCAAACACATGCCACACACATACCTGACACATGCCACATTCCACGCGCACGCGCGCGCACGCACACACACACACACGCCTGACAAGCCACATACACCGAATACGCACACACACATCCCTCACTCACCACCACGCAAAATGCTTCTACCTGCTGCTAATCCCAACTCTGCTTTCTTTCTCCCACACCCTCACATTCCACCATGGCTACTCCTGGCGTCATCGGCCTTCTCGTCTTCTCCAAGGCTGGCCCTGCCTCCTCCTGCCCTCCCTCGAGACACCTTCATTTCCTTTCTCCAGCCCGATACCACCTCCTCCTCCTTCCAGGAACCCCCAAACCCGATACCTTCGAAACTCCCATAATACTGTGCTCTGCTGTGCCCACCCCGCTTCCAGCCTAGCGATCTCACCCACCCACCCGCGGCTTAAGCGCTTCAGCCCTCTTCCACCACCCCCATCCCGGCGCTGGCGGCGCGGGCCGGGAATCTGCGTTCCCCACTGGCCCGCAGCCCTTCTAGAGCGCCCTGTGCCCCCTGCCCACCCGGGGAGCCGCCCTGCCACGACCGCCTGGCTCGCCGCCTGCCCGCCCTCCCTGGCTCGCCGCCATTCTTCCCCTCGGGGGCGCCCCGATCCCCCCTCGCCTCTCCCAGATCCAGCCCCGCGCGGGCGCCCCCTCTTTTGTCTCGGCGCCCCGCTGGCCGGCCGCCTTACCGGGCCCGTAGAACTTGCGGCCTTTGGTCACGTCGAACACCTTGCCGTTGATGGCCATGAGTATGCGCGGGTCCTGGACGCCGTCGAAGCGCCGCAGCTCCGCAGGGGTGAAATCGCGCCGCTTAAGGCGGGGCAGAGGGGGCGGCTCGTCGTCGTCGCTGTCGCCACCGGCCGCTGGCTGGTCCCCGCGCACTATCTTGTAGAGCAGAAAGATGCAGAGGCCGAGCAGCAGCAGGTTGAGCGGCGATGTGAAAATCTCGTGCAGCAACCCGCCGCCCTCCAGCTCGCTCGGGTCGGCGCCTGTCGCCGCCACATCCTCGGCAGCCATGATCTCTGAAGCAAAGGTTGGGCCGCGCTCGGGAGGGCTCCGGAACTAACTGCTTTCTCCTCCCTCTCAGCGAGCTAGTGGCGCGCAGGGCTCGGCGGACAAGGGACTAGCCAGGGGCGGAGGCGGGGCCAGGCGGGACAGAGGCGGGGCCTAAGTGGGCGGGGCCTCCCAGCCCCGCCTCCTCTGAAGCCGCCCATGCGCCCGGAGGTGCTCAGTCCCGCCTCGCCCACCTCAGGCCCCCCAACTTGCTTCGGGATCGTCGCTCCCCTCCCCCCTCCGGGTCCCGCCTCCGCCGCCGCCGCGAGAGCGGAGTCAGCCCCTCAGCTCTACCTGCGAGGCCCCCGCCCCCACCTCACGCCATGCTCACGCCATCCTTTGGCTAACAGCAACGCAGCGCGCGGCCCTCCTCCTCACCCGCGCTTGCTCCCCGCACACCGACCCGCTCCGAGAGCCTTGGCTTTGCCGGGCTCTGTCTGAGGCCCCCTCCGCCACCTGATACGCGCCAAACACCGACTCCATTTCTCTTCAGACTTCTCCCCCGCCTTCCATTCCGAAGCCTCCTCTTTTCCTGGCCATCCTTCGGGACCACGAGGCTGTCTTAGGAGACAGGAAACTCACTCCTCGAGCTCCTTTTTCCACCTTAGAGACCCAGACTACCCATTTTCACCTTGGAAACCCCCATTCGCTCTCCTTGACGACCCTTCTCTAATCCCCAGATACTGTGGGGCAGATACTCCCGGGATAGCTACAGTCAGTGCACAGGCCCCCGTCTGACAACCCTCCCCATATCTGGGGAAACAGATCGGATCGCCCGATTTACTTTGGGTTCATACTCGGAAAACTAAACCCTTTTGCAATCACCGATTTGCTCAGTCCCAAGGCATCAGCAAGCAACGTTCTGCTGTGCTTTTTTTTTTTTTTTTTTGGCTCAGAATAATGACCAAAGTTTCTTTGTTTGGCAGCATTCTTCTATTTGAAGTCTATCGAGCTACCCTTGGCAGTCACAATAACCCTGTGCCAGAGCCCAGACGAAGGCAGGAGTTTGGAAGGATTCTAGATTTGCTCCTTTCCTCTCCTAGGTATTTCATCTGGGCTTTGATGTGCTGACCGAGGAACGGCTGTCTATACCCTTTAGAGTCCTAATCTGGCCGCCCTCTTTATTGTGGCAAGGGAGGGGAGCGGAAGCAAGGACAGAGAGAAGGAGAAAAAATAATTAAAACCAAGCCATGCACACATCTGCAGCCCAGAGCAGTACTTTTCCATCAAGAGTTCTGTTCGCTTGCGCATAATATACTCCCCCTCCCAACATGCAGGAGACTCGAGAGAATTGGCTTCTTACTTCAGAATTCTAAAAATTTCTGGCACAAACTGCTTCCATCCCTGCCCCCAACCCCATCTTCTTAAATCATTTAAAAGTGCGTATGAGCTGAACAAACTTTAAATCAGGGCCACACATTTTTTTTTCACAGATCTAAATTTAGGATTAGCTGAAATGGCCCTTCCAGATCCTTTGTCAAACCTCTTCAATTTAATCAAGGGGAAACAGGCTCAAACTGAGGGCACTTGGCTGTAGTTAGAATCTAATTATCTTTAAAAAAATGTGTATGGTCAAGACATTTTTAAAAACCAAAAACTTGTGAAAAAATATTTTCATTTGCAACTAATATGACAAAGTGTTAATATCTTTTAAGAGCTCGTTTTGACTGATAAGAAAATCTGTACAATTCTAGTCAATAAATGGGCAAAAATAGAAATAGGTAGTTCACAGAAAAGGGGATACCAATGGTGAATAAGCATATGAAAACTGTTCAGTCTCGCTAGCAATGAAAAATGGAGAGACCACTGGGGCCTACCACTTTCCTATAGGAAAGATAAAAGGAAAAAAAGGATGATATACAATGCTGGCAAGCGAGGGGTGAGACTCTTGTACACTCTTGGGGGGAGTAGAACTTGGTATAACCTTTTGTGGTCCATAAAAATATTTTCTATCCATTAATCCCACTTTTAGAAATCTACTCTTTGGTCCAGTAATTCCACCTCTAGGAATCTATCCCAAGGAAACTCTTAGAAATGCAAACAAAGATTTCATGACTAAGTTGCTCATCAGAGAATCATTTGTAATGTGGAAAAACTGGAAACAACATAAATGTTCAACTTTCAGAAATAGCTAATTATTCCACTTGAATTGTGACAAAACCATAAAATGGTGTATGATGCAGCCATTCAGACATTATCATGACATAGGAAAATGCTTATGTTTTAGTCTTGAGAGAAAAACAGGATACAGAACTATACACTGTATGAACTCAACTATGTGAAAAAAAATGCGTGCAAGGAAGCATGCTAAAATGTTGACTGTTATGATTGTTAGTTTTTTCTTTATCCTTTCCTACATTTTCCACAATAAGCACATCTCGCTTTTAGCCTCAGGGAAAAAAATGGTTTATTATTTCTTGTCGGAAAAAATGTAGAATGGTAATACATGACATGTTCATCATACTGAACTTAAACAATATGTAAGTATATAAAGTAAAAAAATGAAACTCATTTCTCCCTCTCCCAGCACCCCAAGCAGTTTTTAAATAGGGCCCACACATTAGCAGTTTGCTTGATATTCTTGCAGACGTGAAACGCACACACACGCATAGATTTTTGCTTTACAAAACTGGGGAAATTTTAAAATAATAAATGATTCATCAATTTTTTTCTAATAAAGAGAGATACAGTGAAAAATAATAACAAGCCATTAGCTCCCACCCAGATAACCTCTGTTGGAACGTTTTAAAAGTCATATTTGTTTAAGGTTATAAAATTCAAACTATGGAAAGATACAAAAGGTAAATTAAATGCCCTCTCCTCACCCCTGAGTCTCTCTCCTCAAAGTTAACCACTATTATAAGTAAGGTAAATGTCAGAAAGAGAAAGACAAATACTGTATGATATTTCTTATATGTGGAATCTAAAAAAAAAACCCTGAACTTGAAAAACTAGAGAGTGAAGTGGTGGTTACCAGGGGCTGAGGGGTGGGGAAATGAGAGAGATGTTGTCTAAGGGTATATACTTCCAACCCGTAGATAAATAAGTCCTGGAGATCTAATGCATGGTATAGTGATTATAGACAACAAAACTGTGTTATAAATATTAACCTTATTAAGAGACCAGATCTTAATTGTTCCCACCACTAGAAGAAATGATAATTGTGTGATGCAACACAGGTGTTAGTTAACACAACAATGGCTATCATAATGCAATATAAATGTATCAAATCAATATGTTGTTCACCCTCAACTTACACAATGCTATATGTCACATATCTCAGTTTTAAAAAGTGGGGGAAATGTTTTTATGGAGGGCTGGGGGGATTTATAATTTTTCTGTTATCACAGTCCGGTGTCCTTCCTGTTACACATCTGTACTCCCTTGGAGTACAGTACCTTGGAGGGGTAATGGATTAAAGGAAGTCCTGCTTCACACAGAGGGTAGGAAATTTGTGCAATTTAAAACCTCAAGAGCCAGCCCTGATGGCCTAGTGGTTAAAGTTCAGTGCCCTCACCACTTTGGTGGCCTGGGTTTGTTTCCCGGTCGTGGAACCACACCACCCATCTGTCAGTTGCCATGCTTTTGTGGCGGCTCACATAGAAGAACTTACAACTAGGATATACAACCATTTACTGGGGCTTTGGGGAGAAGAAAAAAAAAGAGGAAGATTGGCAACAGATGTTAGCTCAGGGCAAATCTTTCCCTGCAAAAAAAAAAAAAAAAAACCTCAAGAAGTGATACAGCTTGAAAATATAAATGCTTTCAAACCAGATTTGATGTTAAATAAACTGGGCTCTTAGGTAGCACTGGAATGTTGAGATTATTGAAGAAAAGCCTCCCACCATTCTGGTTCACGTCACAATACTTGGTGGAAAAGTCTTGTCCAGAGGGGCAGTTCTCAAGTTCTCTAGAAATAAGAAATGTGCTCCTGACTAAAAAGCCCTCTCCAGAAAATGAGAGTTGCATTATATCCACTGTTTGGCTTCAAATCAATTTCTTTCTTTTGCTGGGAAAGAGTCACCCTGAGCTAACATCTGTTGCCAATCTCCGTCTTTTCTTTTCCTCCCCAAAGCCCCAGTGCATGGTTGTGTATCATAGTTGTAGGTCCTTCTAGTTCTTCTATGTGAGCTGCCACCACAGCATGGCAACTGACAGACGGGTGGGATGGTTCCAGGACTGGGAAATGAACCCAGGCAGCCAGAGTGGTGAGCACCAAAGTTTAACCCCTAAGCCATCAGGGCTGGCTCTCAAATCAATTTCTAAAGCCTATGTACTTGACCTGTGGACTACTTACTGTATTTCCCAACATATATATTGTCTTTTAATGTTTCCAAACTTCCTGCCTCCTTTAAATTATTTTCAAAGGTTTTAAAGAGCTTTTAAAGAAAAATAGGACAATTGGCTGATTAGCTAGAAAATGTGTGGGAAGCAATTCAACCTCTCTAGTAATCAAATAAATCCAAAGGGACATAATAACAATGTACCATTTTTCATCATTCAAATTACTGGAGCGTTCTTTTTTGCCTTTTGTTTCTTGAAGCTTTTTAAGAATGGAAACACTTCGTGTTGGCAAGCACACAGCAAGACAAGCACTCTGCCACAATACTGGCAAGAGTGAAATTGCTAGAATGAAAGATTCATTTCATTCACTGATGTATTTCAAGCCCCTAGACCATGTCTGCCACATAGTAGGCACTCAGTAAGTATTTGTTGAATTAAATTATATTGTAAGTGGATAGGGCTTTTATTGTAAGGCTTTCTAGAAAGCCCTTTCAGCAATATGCAACAAGATTCTCAAATTATTTGTAGCCTGTGACTAAGGAATTTAACTTCTAGAAATTTTTCCTAGAGAAGTACTCAGAGATGTGAACAGAGATTTGTATAGAAAAATCACAAAGCACGATATATGGTAGCAAAAAACTGGAAACCATCTAAGTATCCAAAGATGCTCCCCACCTCACCTGGAGTAAAAGCCCAGTGTCCTTATAGGAGCCTACAAGGCCCTACAGGATTTGCACTGCCCCACCCTACCCTTATCTTTAGCACCTTAGGACCTCAATTCCCACTTCCTT